GGGTTATTATTCACTGAAATTGGTTTATCCTTGCATTAAATGACCATTATTTTATCAATGTGCTTCTCTTTGCTTTAACAATAGAATTTCTAGTCTGCTGAAGACTGATTGAATTTTTTCATTAACTGATGGTTATATCTGTGATAATCATTTAGTTATTAGTTTGATGATCATTTGTTCATGAATGTGATGATAATTTGGTTATAAAATGTAGTTATAAATATGATCTTTTAGTTCTGAATCATTCCATTATAAAAGTGATGATTGTTCAGTCATAAATGTGATGATCTTTTAGTTATAAACTGTTCAGCCATAACATGATCATTTGATTATAAATTGTTCAGCCATAACATAATGATCATTTGGATATAAATCATTCACGTCTACATGTGTTGTATGTTCTCTGTTCCTAGGGCTGCACATGGGCCTTTGCCACTGCCAGCAAACTGAAGAGACATCAGACGAGACACACGGGTCTGCGGCAGTGGGTGTGTGAGGTGTGCAAGAAGTCCTTCCACCGCTCGGAGCATCTCAAGGGTCACCTCATCACGCACAGCGGGAGCAGGCCGTTTGTTTGCCCGGTGGAGGGTGAGTTTTTCTCATGGATTCTTTAACACTTTGCCGCCGTATCTCGCCGATCGGCGATGTTAACCACCCAGTTTCTTTGGATTTTCCCCAAAAATGCCTTTGCCTCTTTGATGGCAAGAGTTTTTACTATATGAGCCTTGTGGCAGCAAAGTGTTAAGAACTTTCTGAATAGAAAAGTTGTGGGCATTTTGAGCGACATAGCGAAGTAAAAGTGCAAAGAATGACACACCACAAAATTAACCACGGAAATTTGAACTTCAACTTGCCCTTAATTCTGTGACTTCTATTAACTAAACTGGCATATTTCTAATGCCAGCTTGAGATACGTATCAATGGTGTTGTGGTCGGACCTTGAAACTGAAAAAAGCAGGACCGTTTTTATTTTGTTCTCGCGCTTTTGCTTGCCAATTTGGATTTGCAAGTCATCATTAGAAATCAGGTGTCGGCACACACAATAGAATCTAAGAATAAAAGCACTATGGGCGAATCTTGCTTGTCTGTTTCACATCATTTTAATCTGCAGCTTTTTTTGGTTGTTTGTTTTTGGTTGTT